AGCCATTCATTGCTTATAATAGACACTAGCTCTTTCGTAGTCTTTTTAAGGAAAGCTTCCTCAGAAGGATCTGAAGGTTCTTCATTGGATGATGATTTCCTAGACTTCTAGCATCTCCTCATGGTATGGTAATTTGAGGTATTTCCGTATTCATCGAAAAGTTCATCCTCGAATTCAAGCATAAAATCCGAAATTAGAGTTTTCTCCTTTTTTTGTGGTTCAAGATTTAGGATAGCTGAAGTTAGTGGTGGGTCTGGTAAAGATTTAGATTCAGCTATTTGGGATTCTTCCTCTAATGGCTTCTCTTCTTCTTCCTCAGGGATATTCTCTAAGATTTTCATAAGAATGCGTCTCCCCACATTAAGAAGCATTGAGGTTTCCCTATTAAGACCCATATAAAAGTGTTGAAGAAGAATAGGGTCTTGAACGGCAAGGTCAGGGCCAGTATTAATAAGAGTATTAAAGCATTCCCATGCTGTGCCTAGAGATTCTTTTTTCTTTTGTTTAAAAGATAGAACCTCTGAATAAAGTTTGACTGCCCTAAAGATGGGAAAGAATTGTAAGCAAAAGCTAGAATACAGGGCTTCCTAATCTCCTTGTCTACTCCCTATGGTGAGATTGTACCAACGTTTAGCTTTTCCCATCAAAAAGAAGGGAAAAAGCTTCCATCGTAAGGTTTCGTCTGACATGCGTAGGCATACACAGGTCTACTCAAACTCATTTAGGTGGGAATAGGGATTTTCATCATCTTCGCCTGAAAAGGGTTGATCCTGAACCATATTAACTAAGTGTAGGCGTAGCTCATAGCTAGGTGTTAGGATAAGCTTTGAAGACTCTTTTGGTTGTAGGCTTGCGCTCGTGGGTGCACCATATTGGTTGATAGGGTTGGATTCTAGATCCATGGTAAAAAGAATAAAAGAAAAGATAAAAGTATAATACAAGGATAAGCTAGGTTCGAAGTTAACTCAGCAACCGTTTCCCGGCCAACGATGCTAGAAATGCTTGTTGGTATAAATTAATGCACACAGAATAATCCGCAAGCGCATGGATATTATACCGATGTAGTACTTCACCGGGAGTACCCAGTTTTATATCGAACTTGAGGAAACGTGTGTGCGAATAACCAAATCTAACTTATCCCAACTTCACAATCAAGGCTAGATAATAGGAGCGTAGAGGAGACTGCTAAGGTCTTCTAATTCTAACTTCGGTTAGCTTTGTCTTTATTGTTCAATTCTAGGGATATTACTAAAGAAAACACAGGCAGAGTATGTTTTCTATAGCAAAACTGTCATGCTAGTCCTACTAACGGGAGGTGGACTACAGATGATTCAACGAGGCTATAAAAGTCACCCCCACGAGCTACCATCGATCCAAAAAATAGGGTACATCTACGAGTAACCGAGTCTAAGCACCACGCTTACACTACAAATGCTACTTTAACCCAGGAGTTACAAGGATTAAAGTACTCAAAAGAGAGTCGTAAACCTGAAGAACAATATGAACAAGATGCTTACTTGAATTAGAAGTCGATTACTAGAGAAATCTCAGAAGCAAGCTCAAGAATAACTTAATTCCGCCAGGTACAAGCCGTAGAGAGAACACCGACAGGCCGGGACTCCTCAAAACTCTTCCCTCACACTCTATATCACTATTTCTAGAACAATACTAGATCCTATTAAGGACTAATCTTCTCTTGATTGTTAGCTCTGATCCTGATAGACATAGGAATTAGGGTTTCTGGCTTCTCAGCTCAGGATCAAATGAGCATTGCCTCCAGGGGCAGGCTGGTATATATAGCCCTGAGCATCAAACATGAGCCCTTGGATCAAACCGACTTAAGCAACGGTGGAGATGTAATTCTTAAGACGGTGGACAACCGACATAGGAAGGAGGCCGATAGGTGGGGCCCACAGGCTGGGCTGCCCCACATGTCAGTGACAAGTGGTCTGCTTCGGTGGTTCACCTTCTAGACCCTTATAGAGTCTTCCCGCGTAGGTACCACGGCGGGATTCTGTGATTTTCTTTGACGATTAGGTCCTCTTTGGCGGTTTTCTGATTAAATTCTGCTGAAAACATAGATTCATCAGAACTTATGGAATTTGTCAGTTTAGACCCCTAAGTCTACATTGGTGATCTATTTTAACCATTTATACAAGTTATATTGACGGTTTATAATGTATGTTAACTACCATCAACAACGTCCTCCCTGATCTTTAATTGCATCATCTCACCATATGCTGGATCAGCGAGAATAGGATTCCCTCTCTTAGATCTCCTCATTCTCCAATCGTCGGTCCTTGGCTTCCTCTCCTCTAGGGTGTCGCAAGATGAGGATTGGATCCTAGATGTTCCCCATAGATAATTTACATCACTACCATCATCTGCCAATCTTGACTCTGTGCTTTTATGGTCGCATGCGGAATGGAGTTCATCAAAGTTTTGCAGCTTGGTGGTGCATTACTCGGCGATTAACAACCTACCCTAGTTGCGGGAGCTCATGCCTTAGCCTTGTAGCTATGTTTGTTCCCCTGTGTAAGTTGTGGTGGTTGTTTCTCTTTGCATATGTTGTTGGTGTTTGTGTTCTTCTCTCCTCTTCCTTGCCTTCTAATCCAACTTTTTAATTACCATTCTCGATTCCACTAGCATTTGTGATAATAAAAATTCAGGTAGGGACATATCATCCCTCGATGATCCCCTAAAAAAATTCCGATTGCAAGTGTAGTGGCCACTCGACGCTTACCCTATGGTGATGGTCTGGCTTGGTTCCTAAAACAAAGTGCAGTGCACCTACACCTACAATCATGGGCCTAATGGCCAGAGCAAAGATAGGAGAAACAATAGGTGGGGTAGAAACACGCTGTGATATGGTGGTCGTAGACGAGACATACACACATCGTCTATTGGTTCTGTAGTGGAAGGCGTGAAGTGCCAGGGAGATGTACTTGTGATGTTGTGGAAGTGTGGATGGGAGGTTGAGAAGGGGTGTCTTGAACTACTCTGTCCATCTCCACACAGCCTTGAATAGCGTCACATCGACCATCACGACGTCGTGGGCTAGAGGAAAGGTAAAAAACAAGTGTTTCTAGTATAAACTCAAACGAGTTGAGGACTACTAGAGTTGGGTGGTGGAGGAGGTGTGTGTAGGAGAAGCTTGGCCCTAGATTCTTGGAGGATGCAGCTCCCTCGGATGAGATGAAAGGTTTAGAAAGAGTTGGCGAAGAAGGGCCAATGATGCCATCTGGGGTGGTTATGCCGGTGGAAGAGGGTGAGGCGGCGACGGTGGAGGTTATAGGCACAACGTTGATGGTATATTCTATAGACGGCGGTAGGGTGGCAGGGATAGGCGAATGGGGGGGGGGAGGGGGGCAACAGGAGCCGACCGGCCAAGCAGACGGCGGGTGGCGCCGTGGCGGGATTCGACATCGCTACTAAGGTTCTCGGTGGCTGATTCGGTGGTTCCGAGTTCTGCTCGACTCTGAGTCACGCTGCTCGGTGTCGAGTTGAGAAGGTGGGATTAGGGTGGTTCGGGGGCTATGGGTAGGGATGGGCCCGCGTGGGCGTGTTTTTGTGTTTGGATTAACATAAGATAGAGACAATAATTTCGAAGTTTAACTATATTATAAATGTGTATATATTTACTAACTACTATTCTTTTTCTTCAGAAATGTTAGGTGTGCCCAGAATTGTTGGCACAACTGTAGATCCACCCCCACAACGGTCGTATAAAGGACGCTTCAGCATGAGAAAATGGTTGTATATTTAGAGATGATGTCCACAACCACCAACACAAAATTGAAACCACTTAGGTCGCCCAGCCTTCTATAAAATCTAAGTGTCCGTTTGGATCCTTGGAATTGAAATAATTCTAATAAATATAATTTAGGTATAGATTAATTAAGCTAATATAGTTGTATATAAAATATATTTGTATATTATTGTTAGCCATACAAGGAACATACTTTATATGTTGTATTTCTATTGTAGGGAAATGAGTTGAAGAGTGTGATATAAGTTAAAGAGTAGAAATATAGTATGGTAATCTATAGAATCTATTTCTATATCAAGCAAAATAGTCTAATCCATTAAGTAGATTTTAATTCCTCTAAAATGATGAAAGAGAAATGATTTTTCAAGGTCGCTCAGACACCACCAATGGCTGTAACAGTTCCGACAACTTGGGCTGATCGGCCATAAAAAAGTTCGGAATTCTGGGCCTAGGCTCCTTCGAATGACTCGGCCCATCAATTGCCCTGTTGCCTTCACGCCAAAAATTTGCCTTGTTGCCTTCGACGCCTGACAGTTTATTGGTTCGATCAGGCCTGGTTCAGTGCGTGCAAGGGCGACAATGCAATTCATATTTCATAATATTTGTGCTCGTCAGACTGCAGCTAGCCGCCAATCGCTAATTTTCACTGGATTGACTGGATTCCGCAAGCTAGTCACTTCTGACGTTAACAAGTGTCATTTGGTGTCTCGTGCGTTGCATTCTGTGTGAAGTGTTCAGAATCAACTTTCAGAGTTGCTCATACTATCGGCAACTTGCTGTATTCGTCGGCCTGCGTTCAGAGTAGTCCCTGCACATTGCCTTGCCGTTACTAATGGCTTCACCAATGTCAATGAGCTGTATGAAACATCCAACTTCTAAAGATTTCGCAAACCAAACAAACTTGGAAAAAAAAAAACCTGCTAGCATTCCGTCTCCAGCCCCCTCCGCCCTCCTCCCTTGCGACTCCAGTTTGAACCGCTGCCGTGGGGAATCTAACCGCGGGTCCCACCTTGTAACAAACTGACCAACCGACTTATCAGCAGTTCCCAGTTGAGCATCCTCCCTACAAATAGCCGTGCCGCCTCGCCAATTTGGCCAGCCTTTCACTTTCAAACGAGCACAACACAATCCAAAGAACGACGTGGGAGAGCGAGCGAGAAAGCCAGAGCAAGAGCAAGAGAGAACAGCCATCGAGAGGAGAAGGCGAAAGATTCAGGGGAGCGAAGGACCGATGGCCGACCCCGACGACTATTGGAGCGCCGTGCTCGTCGTCTTGGTTCCCGTCGTCGTTGTGGCCGTGTGCGTCACCTTCATTATCATGTGGTGCCCATGGCGACGGATCCGCCTCTTCACGCTCGGCGGCGTCACCACCCTGACGCGGACGCTGAACTACACCTGCACCATGTGCCAAGACAGCATGGAGGCCGGCGAGAAGGTCCGCACACTCTCCTGCGACCACGCGTTCCACTGCGGCGGCAGCGCAAGGTGCGAGAGGGACATCGACCAATGGCTTCTCACTGCGGAGGTGATGGCGTGCCCGCTCTGCCGCAAGAGCCCCTATCCCGTGCTGCCGTGGAAGCAGCCACCGCCATCGTCGCCAGCGCCTTCACCGTCAGCATCGGAGCCAGCGCTACAGCAGTTGCCGCGGACGTCGTCGACGCAGGATTTGGAGAAGGCGCTGCTGCTTCCGGCGAACGACGAGACACTAGCGGAGGCGTCGTCGTCAGCATCGGCGCCACCGCTAGCGCAGACGCAGTTGCCGCGGACCTCGACGCCGGATTTGGCGGGGGTGTTGCCGCTTCCGGCGGACGACGAAATACTACCGGAGGCGTCGTCATCGCAGTAGACACGCGTGATCAAGCTTGGATGGGACGGTGTTGAGGCCTCCTGTGGGGCGGTCTGGAACTGGAGGTTCTTCAAGGATTATTTCGTCGTTCTTTTTCTGCATTCTTTGTTCTTGGAACTGATCGAGGGTAGTTCGTCTTTTTTATGGTCTGGATCAGCTCTTGAAATACTCCTTAGTTGTTTCCGTTTTTACTTTCTTGGAACTGATCGAACTTAGCTGTGTTCCTGTTCTTTTGTTCAGAGCTGCGTCCACCTGTAACGAACCAAATGTCTGAATGCCAAGAAACGATTATGTGTTAGTTCTTGGATCAGCTATAATGTTCCAATAGAAGCTAATAGATCTTTGGTTCATTGCTTTTATACTCTGTTCAATTCTTTACTACCTCAATGCGAGAATGATTTCATTATAAACTGTTGGCAGCATGGCTTGCTAATTTCTTGCAATAGTGCTTGTGAATTGTGATCAGTTGCTTCGGGCCTGTTTGGCACAGCGCTGTTGTGAGCTGTTTTATTTGTCAAACACCCATTTTCAAAACAACTTCATGGGTAAAGCTGTTTTTCTTCCCCTCTCACAAAAACATGAGTTGGGATGAAGCTGAAAAAAGTAGCTTATACCATCTCTCTCCTTTATTTCTCTCTCTCATCCATGCATGAAGTTGTTGGTGAAGCTGTTTTGCCAAACAGTTTTTCCAAAACAGCTCAAATTCACCTAGAAAGTTGCTCACAAAGTTGTTTTCCAAAAAAACAGCTTTACTAGTGAAACTGAGCTGTGCCAAACGGGGCCTTCATCTGCTTTCTTGAGAGCCAAAACTCTGTAGGCTTGGTTTCTGAACATATGGTTCATAGTTCTGAATATCTTGTGACCTGCTTGTTTGCTTAATATCGCGTTTCTTGCATTCTTGCTACTGCCAGTACTGCACCTTTATGAATAACCGAAGATCATTATACTGCATACCCCTGTATTCTTCAGCTTTTTTGCTGTATGCAACGCCTGATCGAAGGGAGCAACTTTTCTTTGTGCTTTCCCCATCAATTTGACATCAGTTGAATTTCAGGAGGATGTGATTCTTCAAAAAAAAAAAACTCAGGAGTATGTGAGCTCTGGTTTTAGTTTAAAAATCTGAATCTCCTTGTGATATCTTGCGTGTGATGCCATGTCTGTACCTGCATATTGTTCCCAATTTCCTGTTGACATCATGTTTTTTTTTTCAGTTCCTTGTGTCAGGCTTAGTTCTGTCAGACTTGAGTTACTTAACAGCTCGCTGTGCTTGCCTATTTGTTCATTCACAAATTTTTTGTCAGTTGATGAAGTTTCTAATATACTGTTGATATCAGACAATCAGTTTCGTGGCTAGCATGGTATAAACTGTTTGCAGCATTGTTTGCTAATTTCTTGCAATCGTGCTTGACATCAGTTGCTTCATCTGTTGTCCCTTGAGCCAAAAACCTGTAGGTAGATGAAGTTTGTCTACTGTGAAACCCTGTTTTTGGACTTTTTGCAATTCACCAGGTCCGGTTAATGGCAAGTGCAAGTTGATTTGGGTTCCTCCATAGATCGAATAACGTCAGGATCAAAAGCTTTGAATTTCATGCTTATATTCTGAACTCCAAACTGGCTTATGCTCTGAACTCTGAACAGTATTCAAGTTGGACATGGACATATTGTGAATGAAAAGTAGAATATATATACAAACATTTTGATTGGGTCATTTAAGAACTTATTACACTTTGAGTCTGTGGCATTAAGTGCACTGCATATCTATCTATCTGGTTTCTGTTGCTTGCTTTGTTTTACTTTCTATATAAGTGGCTTTCTTAGAGTGAATATAGTTGTAGTTTCCAGAATTCCTCCTTGTCAGTTAGGATTTGATTTGGGCTAGTAGGGTCTTTTTGAAAACTTCATTAATCTTACCTTGAAGATCTTTGTCTACACGCGTCTTACTGCAACTTGCATATCCAAATTAGTGGTACAGTTGTAATGTTTGTTGCAATTTGCCATTATGGGTTTTTTTCAGTTTCTTGTGTAGGAATAGTAGCACCAGAATGCTTTACTGAAAAGCTTAGTTCTATCAGACTTGAGTTACTTAGCAGCTTGCTGTGCTTGCCTATTTGTTCCTCCACAAAGTTTTTGTCAGTTGATGAAGTTTCCCATATACTGTTAGTATCAGACATAATCAGTTCGTTTCATGGCAAATATTGAGCACAATTCTTGGCGACAGCAGTGTAATTTTCACTAGTGATGTTTCTTGGTTCAGTTAGGCCTGATTTCAGTGTAAGAGCGACAATGAAATTCAGGGTTCATACTATGACAATAAATTCAGTGTAAGAGAGATGCCAAAGAGAGGTAATTTTGATTGATTGTAGATACTACACAGGAACATCCGATACTTATGTTTTCTAATATTCTAGGCTATGTAACACGGGTTAATGGACTTGTTCTTATCTTAATGGCAAAAGGCAGTTGAACTGAAGATAAGATTATCAATTTTCAAGAAATCGTTGCACCGCGCTTTGCTTGTTCTGAGTATCCATTTTCTTGTATTCCAGTTTCCAGGTGCTATTGGTTACATAAGACTTTCGATAGCTGAAGGTATAGGCCCCGTTCGCGTGTCCTTAAACCCGGCTTGATCCGCTTCTTTTTTCATCCGGAACAGTGTTTTCCTCTCACAGATTCCTCCAGAATTCCTCCAAACCATCCAAATTCCTCCAGAACCGTACCATCCGAACGGGGCCATAATGTACACTTGGGGTGTCGTGATGTTTACTTGTTCAGTTCATGACTTTTCAGTCTTTTTTTTTGCTGCATACACTGTCCAAATCCAAATAGACCTTATCCAAAGCAACTACTAGAGTCCAATTGGACTCCCTGTATAGCTATTGTGGTACTCTGATCTGAATTCTGAAAGCATATTTCGAATTTCTTGTTAACGGCCGCGGCGTGCAAAGAATGTCTTGAGCGACACGCAACTACTCACAGCATTCCCCTCGCCGCGCTTGTGCTGCTTCCAGCAGCGTGACAGCGTCCGGTGTCAGGGATCCAGACCTGGGGCCCACATGATGACTAACCGACTAAGCCAACCCCCCCTTCTCTTCTCCTACAAATATCCACCGCCGGCAATGCCATTGCCACCTTCCAAACGCGAACAATCCCAGGGCAACGCGAGCGAACAGAAAGCCAGAGCAAGAGAGAGCGAGAGGGGGAGAGGCAAGACGCAATGAAGGGGAAGAGGAGCAAAGACGCCATGGCCGACGACAGCGGCAGCGTCAGGATGGCCATCGGCACCGCGGTCGGCGGCGCCTCCATCGCCCTCTTGGCCGGCGCGAGCTGCTGGTTGGGCATGAAGGCCTACCGCGATGGCCGGTTCTCGAGAGGATGGCGGCGGGTGCGCGTCTGGGCGCTCGGCGGCGTCACCACCCTGGAGCAGACGCTGGCCTACGACTGCGCCATGTGCGGCCACAGCTTGGACCAGCGGGAGGAGGTCCGCACGCTCTCCTGCGGCCACGTGTTCCACCTGCGTAAGGGTCCCAAGTGCGGGAGCAACATCGACGACTGGCTCCGCGAGAACCGCATGCGCTGCCCGGCCTGCTGTAAGCCCGTCCACCCCGTGTTGCCGTGGAAGGCGCCGCCGACATCGGCGCCACCGCCCGCGCCCGTGCCACTGCCAGCGCAGTCGGCGCCGTCGTCGTCGACTTCGGATTTGGAGGCTCAGGAGCCGCGGCGGATGGAGTTAGAGCAGGGGCCACCGCGGCGGCTGGCGTTGGACCAGGGGCGACCGCGGTATCCGCCGTCGATGTGGTTACAGGATGCGCTACTGTACGGGTCGCCGTCGCAGTAAAGACGCATGATCGAGCTTGGACGGGACGGTGTTGGAGCGTCTTTTGGGGCCCGTCTGGATCACTTCTTCGAGAGGTTCTTCAAGGATTCTTTCGTCGTTTCTGTTTCTGCATTCTTGGAACTGATCAAAGGGTATTGCGTCTCGTCTGATGGTCTGGATCGGTTCTCGATGGATTCCTTCGTTATTTCTGTCATTTGCTTCCTTGGAACTTATCGAGCTTAGCTTGTTCCTTCTTTTGTTCTGATCTACGTTCACTTGTGATGAACTAAGCAATGTGTCCCAGTGTGCAAACTGATACTGCTGAGTGGGCATCTTGGGATGAGAATTGCAGGATTTTGGTATAAACTTTTCGCCATAATGTTTTCTAGTTCTTGTAATAGCGCATCTGTGCGTGACAGCAGTTCCATACTCTGTTAGTTGTTTTCTTGAGTGCTAAAAAGGCCAAAAAAAATACCATCTAAGTTTTGCTGCTGAACATATGATTAGTCGTTCTGGAAATCTTGTGAACTAATTTACAGTTTCTTTTCTGATAAAATTGATGTTTGCTTCATAGTACTATCGTTTTTCTTGTATTAGAGATCAATGATTCGTACAGCAGCAACTGCTTCTATCATACCTCTGTATAGGTGAAGACTAGCAAATGCTTGACAGTTGACTCTTCTGCTGTATGGGATGCCTAATCAGGCGATGGTGATCGAGGGTAGTGTGTCTTGTCTGATGGTCTAGATCTGTTCTTGAAGGATTCCTTCGTTGTTTCTGTCGTTTGCTTTCTTTGAATTGATTGGGCTTAGCTTGGGTTGTTTTTGTTGTTTTGTTCATGTCTGAATTTAACCATGCAATTACGATTTGTACGTTGTTGGCTCAGCTCCAGTGGTCTGACGGAAGCTAGTAGATTTTTGTTAATGTATTTGGTAGTCTGTACCATTTCCGTGTGCCCCCAATGTGAAAATTGATATGGCTGAATGGGCATCCCTGTTCGTCGCAATGCTTGCTAATTTCTTCCAATAGTGCATGTCATCATTACTTACTCTGTTTAGTACTTTCTTGAGTGGCTAAAACCTTTAGATTTTGCTGTTGAAAATATGATAAGTCAGTCTGAAAATCCTGTGAACTGCTTTGCTTGTTCTAATTGCTTCACATAATTTTCCACACTGCTTCACATCATTTCAATGATGAGTACAACTACTGCTTGTATCGTACTGTATTAGTGTTATTAATTTGTGATATCTGAAGATAATTATACCGCTAAATCTTAGACTCTTCTGCTGTTGAATTTCAGCTGGATGTGAGATCTGCTGTGCGTCTAACTCTGGGATCTCATTGCCATTTCCTGTGTGCGAATACTGATAGTGATTATGCCATGCCTGTCCCTGCATATTGTTTCCAATTCCCTGTTGCCATTATGTTTTTTTCCCCAATTCCATGTGTGGTACTAAGTAGCATCACAATTTGCTACGGGAAAGCTCTTCTGTCATGCTTGTATAAGTTGTGTTACTTACATCTCAATATGACACCTATTTGTTTTCCACTAATTTTCCGTCAATCCCGACCTTTTGTTTATACATCCGGAAATCAAACTTCTTTGGATGGCACTACTTTTTGAGTGACTAGTGTAAGTATCACTAGAGATGTTTTCTTGCTTGCTTGAGTCAGTCCTTCCATTGTGCAATGTTTGCAAGTATTCAAACAGGGCTCATAGGTTTGATTGCCAGAGTTGGAACCCTGTTTAGCTTCAGTGTCTGGAGTGTGTGCCAAATGGTTTCAGACTTTCAGAGTTCATGAGTCTGAATAACTATCGCTGCATAAGTTGTGAACTTGTGATAGGTAGAGGTCACAAGGACCCCACGAGTTCATTTTCTCGAGCGTTGATGTTAACTGTGATGCTTGCTGCTTGTGTTTGGTGTCCCTTGTGCTGCATCTACAACATTCAGTCTGATAGCTGTCAGTCTTCAGAGTTGCTGATACTGTCTTTGATGACTTCATGACTCGAAGCGTTCGCCGACCAGCGTTCAGAGTAGTTCACGCACACGCCATGCCCGTTTAGTTTCCTCACAAATGTATGAATGAGTCGAACTCTCATAGATTTTCAAGACAATGCTTTCAAAGAAAAAGATTTTCAAGACAAACCTTTTCGTCGAACCAATTCAGTTTTGAAGATGTGAAGAGGCTTATCTGCCGCAATACAAGTTACAAGGCCTGCAGAACGGCTTAGAAATTGCAAACCCACAAGAAGCGTGCTCCACTAGATGTGATGTGAAGGCCTCCCGTGGTTCGTGTCTTCGTGATCGCGAGCGCTGCACCGCTCGGCGCTCGCCCTCCGCAGGCTCCAGCTTAGCAGCTCGGATCAAAGATGGAATAAAGCACGTGGCAAATCCCGGATGCTTGTTCGGCTGGTGATATTCGGCTGGCTGGTTCGTTTTTTTTCCCAGCTGGAGTAGCGTTTTTTTCTCCCAACATTGCAGCTTGAATAGTAAATTCCAGCATGAACAGTGCCAGAATAATACCAGCTGAACACTCCGGCATGCGCGCCGGCCGGCCTCACCAGTCGCCACGGCTGCCTACGCCGCCACCGCGCCAGCATCAGGACAGTGAACGCCTGTGCCTCCGGTGCCGATGCAGATTGCGGTAACTGTGTCTGGATGTTTCTTCCTGTGAGCTGATCGATGAAATGCTTAGGGCAGTCCTAATAAAAAAAAATAGTAGTTTTTATAATATAGGATACCGCACAAAAAAAGTACTGCTTTTTAATCTATAGTTTTATGAGTAATAATTATTTTCTTTTCTCTCTCCCAACTCTATCTTCTTCCTCCAATAGGAGTGCAGTACGAACCCCCTAGAAACTAGTGATTTTTCTCCAATAGCGATTTCATGGTTTTTGGGTGCATTGGGTACCTGATTTTTTCATGAGGAAACCATTTCTAGTATTTTTGCTCTCTTTCTTCATTAATTACGTTGCCATGTCAGCGTTTTGCCTACGTGGCAAGTCATTTAATGAGGATAGAAACTATCATCAATACATCATTGGGACTGCCCTTAGGATGCGTTTGGTTCAGGGGACGGGCTGGGACGGACGGGACGAGCCCGATTCCGATGCTGTTTGGTTGGGAGGCAGCTGGAGTGGGATCATCCCACCTGTAGAATATCCTAGGAATATTCCCGTGAAACTGGGGCGAGCTCGTCCCCGAAAATTTGCCGGGCAGAGTCATCCCACCTTTGCCGCCATCACCTTCCGTTTCCCTCGCGTGCTGGACATGGCGGATAGGGTCGCCGGCGGATGTGGTAGGACGAGGAGGCGAGCAGGAGCTGCATGGGCGCCGGGATCCATGGTGCGACTGAGCAGGACCGGGCAGGTGCGGCCAGTCGAGGCCGGGCGGGCGGCGAGCTTTGGATTGGGTGGACTCCGAGCGGGCACTGATGGCCTCGGCAAGCTGTAGACGGTGAGACGACTGGGCAGGCGAGCTCCAGCTTGGGTGGCGGCCTCCGAGTGGGCACGGACGGCCACGGCGAGCTCCAGACGGCGCAGCACGGACGGCATCCAAGCGGGTGGCGCGGCACGAGCGAACGGCTTCCGAGCGGGCGGCGCGGTCGGATGGCCTCTGAGCGGGGGGGCGGCGCGGCCGGGCGACCTCTGAGTGGGCGGCCGGTGTTGCAGGACCGCCTGGGATGGGGCCGCATCCGGACGGGGCTGCATCTAGACGGCGGCGCGGCCAATCTGCTGCTGCGTGCGCACGGATGAAGAAGGGGAAGGAGACTAGCGGGTGGGGCCCACATAACGGTGGCAAACGTACCAAAATTTACCGTCCATACTATCACCCTCGGTCCCTCCCGCCAAACACAAAATGGGTCGAGCCCATCCCTCGTCAACTAAATAAAAAATAGAGCCGTTTCGTCCTCGTCCCATTCCAGATATCAAAAATCAAAGACGAGATCATCCCACTCCACCTTAACTCCTAAACAAAAGCAGTGTGCGATTTTTTTTATTTTTAACACATTTTTTAAACTAATTTTAAAACTGACACTGTTTTTTTTTTTTTCAAATCTAACACTTTTGGCCGCGCCTATTCGCACGGGGCGGCGAATTAAAGTTGTCGCGCCATGCATGGGGGCGCGGCGAGGCTACCAACGTGGCAGCGACCAGGGACGCTGATAGGTGATGTGGCCAGCTCTACCGCGCCACCGATCAAGACACGGCATGTTGGGGACCTGATACCGGGGTACCCAACGGGGTGGAACTAATAAACACCGGACGTCGGCACTATCGATCAAATGAGAACACTACTGTGCCTCTTGCCCGAACTACGGAAGATCAGTTCCGCCTCGCCTGACCCTCAAGGGATAGGGTCCGCCTCGCCCGACCCTCGAGGGCTAGGCTCTGCCTCACCCGACGGCTGAGGGCTCGGCTCCGTCTCGCCCATAGCCCAAGGGTGGGCTCCGCCTCGCCCGAAGGCAGAGGGCTAGCTCCGCCTCGCCCGACCCCCGAGGACCAGACTCCGCCTCGTCCAACGACCGAGGGTGGGCTCCGCCTCGCCTGACAACCGTGCCCTGCTCCTTCGTGATGACAGGCACAGGGCAAGACAAGCCGTTCGGGTCAACCGCGGCATCGAGGACCATGCCCTACGCCGCTGCAGGGTAGTAATGTCAGGGCGCGACGAGATGGGCGCTTTAGACCCTTCCAGGCATGGCAGAGCCAGAATAGTGTTGCAGGCACGTGCTCTTCGCCCAAACAGTATTGTAGGCGCCGCCTTCAGCCCTCGGGTGCGGGACCCGACACGGACATACGACAACCACTATATTCCAAGGGGGGACTCCCATCCTCTACAGTGACAAACGAGCAGTCACCGCGCCGCCCGCTCCCCACAGGGTCGCAGGTCGACACCCCTGTCCGACACGCCGCCTGCGGGGGCGGGACGGGACGTAACCACTTGCTGATCGAGTAGGGGCGCAGCGTCGTCATCATCACATAGGTATCCGGCGAACGTGCCAGCCCCTGACACCATCTG